GTAATCTATGCATGCAGCTGAGCTGAGCCACGAAGTTTCGGCTTCATGGCGTGACCAAGTTCTCGTAGCTGGAACTGAAAGTTGAATAAGTAAAAAGCGGCTGGATATAATTACAGCCCCCCAACCGCATGAAATTGTAAACGCTCCTAGAGGAAACGTTTCGTTGATCAAAAGAATGAAGCGAATGCTATAATGATTACTTTGAGTACTTTGAATTGTTAAACTAGCAATGACTAGTTTCCATTCATTTCTTTGTTGCGCTACTATCAATTACTTCCACTAATATTTCCTTGCCTTGGTGCGTCCTATCTATTATCGATGATGTTTCGTAGACCCTTGATAAGCTCTTTTATATCATTTTACATTCAAAGAGCGCATTTCGCATTTGCTGTTCGCTCGACCAGCAGACAGAGTCCTCTTTTGAGCCGCACTCCCATGGGCCCTAAAACCACCCCAGTGTGATCGTTGCGAATCGAATCAATTAGTCCATAAGTCTTTCATCCGATTCCAGATTAGAACCCCTTTCAGTGGGTCCCGTACCTTTTTTCCCCATATTTCTGTCCATCTATATTTCATGTGACGGATATTTCTGTATGCAGACCATCGGCATATGCGCCACGTGTCACCTGAAACCATTTTATAAATGTATGTGCCTTTGTGGGTCCCGTATTTTTTTTTTTTATATAAATAGGGGAAACCGATTCCCATACACGCCGGAAATTGATAGGAGCTTGATTTATTTTTTCGATTCAATTTGTAGCTTCTCAAAAATGCACATCGTAAATAGGGGGTTCATTAATAACGAAAAAATGCTCAATTATGTCAAATGTTTCATTAATTAATCGTGCATTAAGTGGCTCCTCATTAAAACTGAAAATGATAATGAGGCATCTGAGGTTTAAAGGCTTAATATGGTATTTACGATCGAACCGCCTTGGTGGACGTACGAGACAATTAACTACCATGCCTTGAAAAAGGTGCAGCCCATGAAAATGGTAGAAAGCCGCAGAAATTGATACTCAATTCGACCGAAATTTGCAAATTGTTTCAAATGTCGCTACAGTTGCGAAAAAACACCGAAAGTGCTTGCATAAATAATTATTAAGCACGGTTGAATTAGCGGTATTAAATAACTGGGGAAAAGTGTCCCCCTTTTCCATGCACGACCGAATAGACATTAACGATACGAACTGTAATTATAATGTTTCCGTATCAGGCTTATAATCATCAATATGTAATCAACGATTCGAAGGCAAACAAGCCTAAAGTTAGCGCAAAACGTGGGGCCTATAATTTTCTTTGCTATTCTTCGATGGCATGTCGACGAAATTTCCGAGCCGGAATTACAGCTATAATTTCCATTTTAGATCTATTGTTTTTGCAGTGTTTTTTTGCATAGAACCGGTCGAATGTTTCATCGACTGATTTTAGTTGAAAGCCCTCATATTTATTAATTTAATTTACGACGACGATTTTAACGATTTTAAGCGTCTTAAAGAGGATGGATCGCAATCCAAATTCTAATTCCAGAAAAAATGGCTTGGAGAACAGTGCAAGTACAAGGTTTGCAGGCTTTTCAAGTGTCCGAAATGGAAGATCCCTAAGAAGGCGAATTTCCGTTGAAAAACACAATTTTCAATGTCGATTTATACAAATGATCCGTCGATTATTTACGATTTTTTGAAGAATATTTCGAGGAGTCTTTTTAACAAATGATATGATGATCTTTTTAAACAAATAATAATTACACATTTGCGCCAAAATGACCCTGCCAGGCACAAAAAGTCTGTTTTCGTCCAATATTCCATCAAATCTATTTTTAACGCAAATCTGGCTCCTATAATTTTAGGCCTGACTGCAATAATCCGCAACATTATAAATTGATTACATAACAGAAATTTATAATTTCATGTCGAAATTAATTAATTTCCCGCCGCTTCCTATTATGGCAACTCTAATCCAGAGGAAAATTATTAATAATTGGGAAATTAGATTGCTTCGTTTGCTTCGCACTTTCTATTTTGGAAATTTCGATTTTTCCGTGTTTTGCGCTGTTAATGAATATTTTAAAACATTTTGCGAAAGTGAAATTAAATTATTCAACGTCCGTATTCAAACTAATATTATTTTCCATTAATTGCACAGCAAATTAGTGAAGATGGATGGCTTCTTCATTAATTGATGAGTTGATGCAAATCAATAGCAAGTGCACTCTGTGCTGATTAATTAAAGATTAAATAATCATTATGGTTAACATTTGCCTATTTCATCTTTGTTTCATCATGTTGTTTAACTAAATTAAAACTGCTGTTGAAAAATCAGGCCTTCAAACCTGAAATAATCCCCCAATTCTTAAAATATTGTCTAAAAGTGACCCTTGTCTATAGAGCCCATTCCACATCTCGCCGTACGAACTGAAGAACGAACTTCTTTCAAAATTTTAATTAAAGACTGTGTTTGCGCTGGTATTAAGCCAGGCTGGGTGCCATTGTCCATTTAAAGCCCGTGCTTTTTGGAGCTTAAGAGTGATATTTTCTCATTTAAGTTATGAAAGGGAACAATGGAAGTTTTATTTAGAAATACATTAATATGGCTGCAGCATTGTGACCGCAAAACTCCAAAGCATTGTGTTATTTCGCCTCACAATAGATCGCTGTAAGCATGGCAGTTTTGATACAATACGTATAGTTAAATGTGTTTTGTGTGCTTTGGATATGACAGTGTATTTGCCAGAATTTCCCATTATGATTACATTAGTTAGACAAATAAATAGATGGATATTTAAATATCCATCTGATATTTGCATACTTTGGAATATGCAAATATGACTGAGAGGCAAAGACTGAATTTCTACTACAATTCTTTCAATAACAATTTCGCTTTCTGGGTCAAAACTACTCGAATTTCCTACTCATCTTGTTATGACGGAATCGCGTTTTAAATTCTCTATCCAAGGATTCCAAAACGAATTCTGTGGCTCAAATGGGGCCTGAGGAACGCCCAAAAAAGCAACGTCGTGTTTGAGTCAATTTTGCAACTCAAACAAAAACACGCAAATCTAAAACTTCCTGAAACCAAGACTTTTTTGAGAAAATTGCCAACATTTCCGTATTGATGGTTCACTTTCTAAAAAGGCCATTTAGTTCTCTCGGGAATGATGTAAAAATGAGCGTTCGTGCTTATGTTGCTTCCGAGAACTGAGCAAAAACGGGACGGAAAACAAGAAATTTTTTCATAATCTTTGCACGTAAGTGTCTGGTATTCAAATTTCGCTTTCTGGGTCAAAACTACTCGAATTTCCTCACTCACGTTGTTATGGCTAAATCGAATTTTCAATTCTCTATCCAACGATACCAAAACGAATTCTGTGGCTCAAATGGGGCCTGAGAAACTGCCAAAAAAGCAACGTCATGTTTGAGTCAATTTTGCAACTTAAAAAAGAACTCGAAAATCTGAAACTTTGTGAAACAAAGACTTTTTGGAGAAAACAGCCAACATTTACTTATTAATGATTCACTTTCTAGCAAGGCCATTTAGTTCTCTCTGTAATGATGTAAAGATGAGCCCTCTGGCTCACTTTGCTTT